CATTTGAAACCACTCTGGCATGTGGAACCTGTCATAAAGAATAGGCCTAACATCCTTCTGCAGTGAGAGGAACTTGAGGAGTGGGAGAATGACCTCCGAAAGCTAGAAAAGCCAAATAACAAGATGAGGGCATAATTAGATTACTTACAATCAAAAGTCAATTAGTATAAAGCTAGAAATTAGAATGAAAACCTACCTGATTATCATTTAGCTCTGTAGCAGAAAATGAGGAACAAGGTATTCCGTTCAATGGTTGAAGCAAGAAACTGAAAGGGTTGTTATCAACAATTACAATACGAGAGAGATCTTTCGACAAACAGGTTAGATCCTTCACATGTTCCCTGTATACCCTGTGGTTTACATACCATCAGACTTTGGAAATATTAAAGACATCAAAGGGTTTAAGTCTCAACTATGCTGCCTTTTTCTAACTTCCCTCCATCATTGAGCTCTGTGAAACCTATGGGCTATGCATCTCACTTATGCAACAAGTAGTAAAACACATTCCACTAACAACTAAAATTGCAAATGTATGGTCCAAAGGAATGAAGAGATTTCAGTTGCAGACATCCCAAAGCACAACAAGAATATCATGCTGTTTCTGAGAACATAGCTTGAGCTGAAGAGCTAGCACACTTCAAAAGTACCTTATCATCATCATCATTATAAACACATTCTAGCTATATTGTCCTCTCAGTTACCAGAGATCACATATATTTTTCCCTCTTTCCTAAATGCTTCCTCCAACTAAAATTTACTTCTTATATGAAATACTTACGTGCTAGAAGTTGAAGGCCTGTAAAGACGAAGGCTAATTCTGTTTTCTGCATCTATTCTGTCAACAAGTGGTTTAGCATATCCTGTGCAGTGCCAAAAATTAAGAGTAAAAACGAAAAAATAGGGAATTAATCATACCCAAGATCATAAAATCAGCACATAACATCAAAACATCAAACCTTCTTGCCCAGCAGTGAAAAGAACAAGATCAGCAAATTCAGCAATCTGTTTCAAGAACTCTTGCAATCCTGGTCGTTCAAATACTGTCACCTCACGCTTTCCTTCAGATTCCTTCATCCCCGAAGTTTTACCATATTAACAACAAACACAGCTACATAAAAATTGGGAATAACAATTTAGGGAAGATAAAGAGAGCCCTTAACTGGAGACATGAATTCCGACACAAACCACTTCAATCCAGCCTCTGTTGCATTACTACGAACAGCAGCAGGCAAGACAGAGGATTCATACGCACAAATCAGAGTCTCATCCAAATCAAGAACTACCTAAAAATGCAAACCAAAATTAACGAATAAAACTGTCACTTAAGATTAGGAATTTGTACAACCAAATACACAGTAATCTTAAAATCCAGCGTCAAAATTAATCATATGAGGAAAACGGTGAACTTACCGTGAGCTTCTCAGGAGGAGCCGAGTTGTCGATTTGGTCATGGAAGCTGAGTCGTAGCGGCGAGGAATCTTGCAGAGGGAGGTCGACGGTAGGGATGGGGATGAAAGTAGGGAGATGGTGGTTGGTAGTGGTGGTAGCGAAGCCGAGGTGAGAGAGAAGCTGAGGCAAAGGAGTGTTTCTGAGAATCTGGAGAAGCGATTGCAGGAAAAAGGAGAGCCAATTGATCAGTCCTCTCCATACTTGCACCGACCTTGCTTCCATGACTTCAACTTGCCCCATTTCCGCCATTGCTAAGAGAGCCGGAGACAATGGAGACTCCAAAATGTGAGGGTACTGCACAGAAATACTACCACGAAGGTTCGCTTTTCCGTCTTGATGACGGAGGCGGCGGATAAGCTGCTTTTTACTGTCGGCCCCTACTCAAGATCCCCACCGTTTGTCCCATAATCATGATTCTTGAACCAATAAACAACAATGATACCGGTTTCCCATTAGAAAACCAAAAACCAATTTACAATAGGTGCTGGTTATGGTTTTTATTAAATTTATTAAGGTTATAAATATTGTTAAATTTTTATTTTAATTTAAGAAAAAAAGTATATATTAATTTTAATTTTTAAAAATAATTAGAGTTTTAGTCTTAAATTATATCATTTTATTTAATTAAAATTTAATTTAAAATTTAAAAAATTATCTTGATATTTAAATTTAAAAATTTTAACTAAAAAAATAATATTTTTATCACTCAAATTAATATATCATTTATTACGGAAGCCAGTACCTATAACAGTAAAAAACTAAAAAAGTGTTTTTAAGATCCACGTGCGAATTTAGAAAAGTACACAAAATTCTTTATTATATTGATTTATTAATGGAATTGTAATAATTTTAGTGTAAGTGACATGAAAAATAGGAAACTAGAAAGGTTAAAATATCAAAATAATCCTTGACCTTTAAAATTTGTACTAAAATGATCCTTAAACTTTTAAAAGCACTGATATGGTCCTTAAATGTCCAAATGGAATTTCATTCCAAAGCTTCTTGCTCATCTTCAACATAAGTTGCATGACTACAACTTTAACAAGAGAAAAACCAGTCAAGGATAAATCCATCCAATGAAGGATTAGAGCACAAGCCTCTTGCCAAGTTAATATCTCCTATTTATATAAGTAATTTATAATAAATTGATAAAAATTGATTTACCAAAAATTATCATAAAAAAACCATTAAAACTATAACCAATTACCTCATCTAACCATGCCAAATATAACTATTCATTAGGAATAATGTGCATCAACCTAATAGACTTAACTTTTTAATGTCAATATTTATTTTCTCAACTCAAATTAATGTTAAAAAAAAATGCATTTATTATACTTTTATGGCATATGTTAAACAAAATTATTTTTTATATCAAATTTTAAATTTTAGAATGAAATTCTCATATCAGATTTTAAATTATCATGCCAGCAAAAATTGGTCATCTCATTAAAATAAAGCCAGGTCAGCCTTGTTAGATGGAGTTTAACAGCCTCTGACGTTAGTTAACCTCGGTTAAAGGAAAATCAAAAGGAAGAGCCAAAATAGTACCAAAATTTATTGTTGAAGGACCATATTGGTATGTTTGAAAGTTTAAGAACCATTTTAGTACAAATTTATAGACCATTTTGGTATTTTAACCAACTCTAAAATCGAAATAACCGCAAAAAAAATAAAATCCTACCAACACACACCAACAGCACTGCCCAGCGTCAGAGTCAAGCTAACTACCAGTCTTGGGAGGAGGAAGAAGACCGATGGGTAGAATTCAGTTCCTCATCTCCTCCCGCATCTCCATGGGCACATTCCCAGAGAAACCTCAAGGTACCATTTCTTCAACCTCTGGACTCTGCAATTTCTGATATTATTTCACCAATCCCTTGAAATTTCACTTTGAGTTTCAATCCACCCGTTTTTTTCTCTCCTTTTAGAATGGCAGAACCGAGTCGGAGCTCCGCATCTACCTCCTCCTCATCTTCTTATCCGGTCAATAGGGGGGATTCAGGTGCTGCCGCGTCGTCTTCAAATACTTCCGTAAGGGAAGAACACGACCGGTACCAGCACCGCCATCATGATACAGAGTTAGAGCATCACCAAAATGGTGTATCGTATCGGGGAAGCTTCTTTGCTTTTGATATTTCATCAGAGGTGATTACCGATGACACCTGGTCTTGCATCATTGTGGTTCTTACTTTTTGGTTTTTCGGTTAGTATCTTTCTCTTCCCTTTATTTTTGGTTTCTTGCAATTGCTTGTAATGCTTGTAGATTGATTGATTTCCTAGCAAATTTTAGACTTGAAACTGGATAAGATTTCCAAATTTTGATGTTTATAGGTTGGTAGGCTTAATAATTTGGTTAATTTTGGATTTAACAGTTGCAATGACTCTGATTTTGGGGGTTTATGGGGCTTCCAATATAAGCCTTGGTCCAAATTGCTCGCTTCTTATTCAGCCAAATTCTATATTTGTCCAAAGTATAACGGTAATCATTTGCCTTTTTTTCAATACTTTTCCCTTTCTGTTGTTTTTCCTATTTATTATTAGTGGGAGTAATTCTATTGGCTTGTTAAAGATAGAAGAGTCCAATGGTGCTGCGAATGGAATAGAGCTATATGGGTTTTATAAAACCCCACCTCTTGATGTAGAAACCACTTGGTCTGAAACTTACGTTACTACTGTTCAAGTTTATTCTCACAAGGCAAGTTTGATCCAATGGAGTGTGTCTTCAATATCTTATTCCAATTTGTCAATAGACAGAGTTTCTAAATTTGAGCTTTCTGATGGTATTCAGTCGTGGATTTATTATCTCAATGAGGGCTCTCAAGTTAACATTTCATATACGGTGAACTCCTCTGGCTCCTCTGTCTTCCTTATAATTGCTCAAGGTTTGCACCTTACTCTAATGCTGTATAACTTTTGCTAGTCATGTTCTAATGGCATTATAGTGTAATCAAAGACTATCTTTTCTTTATACTAATGTCGAAAAAGGCTGTCCAAATATAGAACCAAGGAAATTTAGTTCTTCAACTTAAATTCATGTTATCTAAATGATTTTGAGTACAAAGTCATTTGAAAGGATAGCATTAAGGTTGGGTTTGGATGAAGGATTCTAAATAAGGGACTTCAATGAAGAAAATTTGGAGAAAGGAGTTTCTAATTACTTATTTAAATGACCTTTCATGTGAAAAATGTTTTGGTTGGAATACAAAAGCTTGTGCTTGTCATTTTAAATAACCACTTAAAACTTAAAAGGTGGTTTTATTGAAATCCCTCCTTCAAATCCTTAATTTTTTCCAACTGAAGTATAATCCTCTCCCTCCTTGACAAAATGAGGAATTTGAAATTCCTTCACATTTTCTTCATGTGAAACCTTGAAATCCTTCATTGAAACACAACCTAGGGGTAATGGTTCCAATCAGAACTAATGATGTTAATTGCAAGTGCACCATAAAAAATGGTTTCAGTTGTGACTTCTATAACTCATTCCAAATCTGACATGTTGCAGGAAGTGACGGCCTTACGCAATGGCTTGAGGACCCAACATATCCAAACACCACTTTGTCATGGAATGTTGTTCATGGTGAGATAGAGGTGCAAAATACTATGATCATTCCATCCTAAAAATATATGTACTGACTTTGAAACACTTCTCTGCATATTGTACTCTGTAGGAAGTGGTGTGATCCAGCAGGATATAGACATAGCTTCAAGTTACTACATTGCATTGGGTAATCTAAACTCAGAGGAAGTGGAGGTAAGGAAAATTTTCATCTATTCTGATTTATTTTGTTGATTTACTTGTTTTATTATTTTAATTCACAGAGGTATATGGGGTTGACTAAGTGGTTATGTTGGAAGTGCCTTGAACCTATTTCTCTAACAGTTATAGGTGTAAATGACAGAAACATTTTCTTCCTAGAAATAGAGAGTCCAAATAAGCCTAGCATGTGTAACTAGCTGGACTATTTCAGTGTTATACATAGCTTAGGACAGTTAGAGTCTAGAGGTTCCATATATATACATACATGCATACATATATATATAGGGAAAAGAGCATATCAAGCCCAACTTCTAAAATAAATTAGAGTTCTAACCTTAAATCACGTTGTTTTATTTAATTAAAATTCAATTCAAAATTTTAAATCTATCATCATTTTAGATTTGAAAATTGATTATATTAGAATATATAATCAGTTTTCCAAATCTAGGTATCAACATTTAATAAAGTGGATTTTTGAATTTTTAATTAGGATTTTGGTTTTCATTTTAACATTTTATTGAATCTCACCTTTTCCTCTCAATCAGATGCTGGTTCTTTTCAACTTTGTCATTTTTACTATTGTCACTATCTTTTTTTTGTCATTGAATAGGTGGAGTTGAATCTCAGATTAAAGGCGTGGAAGTATAACACAACTGAAGCTTATTACAAGTGTACTTTTACCCAAGGACGATGTAGCCTGAGTGTTTTATTTCCTAAGGGAAATATTGTTGTCTTGACCTCTCCTAGCCCAAACCAGGTAAATCTCTTTCTTTTTTTTTCTTTTTTCTTTTTTTTGATAGTTTCCCTAATCTTTTTTCTTCCTTGAAGGAACCATTATCTAAAACTGGAGATAAACTTAAAAAATTTCAATTCCAATACTCAGAAGCCATTTTCAGAAGTTCATTTTTTGGCATCTTTCTAAAGAATATTCCAGAGGTATTCTCGTAATATTAAAACCTCAGGTTCAGTTGGTCATGCAAAAACCTCTAAAATGCCTGCTTTTTAATCCATGGTTTGGTACCATTGGCTTGTGAAACATATATTCCAATACTTCTGGTCTTCTAGACTAAGAGCCTTTTAATTCCATCCTAATAAGTATTTACATGTTATTTTGCATTTTGGCTGCCTCAGAATACATCTGCAGATGACTTGTCTGTCCGACTGTCATATGGACCAAGATGGATCACATATATATGTGGCATTGGTAAGCTTCTTTATTTTATTTTCTCTCATTACAAACTTTTCTATATATGAATTTCACATGTGGTTTCTGCTGAAAGGTGGAATGACGGTGATCATGTTGGCTGCCTTCAACTTCTTAAACAAAATCCAATGCTACCGTGGAGGTGAAAGTGGAAATCAATATGCAGAAGTTGGATCGGAGAGGGCGCCTCTCCTTTCTCGTAAAGATGATGATCTCTCAAGTTGGGGTTCATCTTATGATTCTCTCTCCAATGGTGAGGATGATCTTGAGGAATTTCTGGCAGCTAGTAACATTGAAGGGACATCACTAAGAGATGGTGAAAATAGTAACAACACCAAACGTCTCTGTGCAATT